TATTGGATTTATTAGACGATGTTAGCCCTATATTGGCATAAAATGATAATTTAATATATGTATATCCAAGGTTGGTCCTATATTGGCATATTATTTTACGCCAATATATCATTAACTATATATAGACTATAGTCAACGATGCTTTCGAAATTCTAAAAGTGATATGTGACGACACACGTTTGTTTTCAGGATATGTCTATACTAGTGGCGCACGAACAGTTTTAAGTTGGGGGGTGGCGGAACCTTATTGTTTAACACCAAATGGGTGTAAATAATAAAGGTCATTCTTGCATATTACCGTAAGAATAACAAGGATAATATGCGATTTCTTGTCTTATTAGCAATAAAATTCGTTATTCCGATAATAAAGCTCATGCTGATCATTTTGATTTTAGCATTTCATCCTAATGCCAGTATGTATATTTTACCCACCACACTGAAAGAAATATATACTAAAGTTAAATAAAAAAATAATTAGGGCAAATATATTTTATGTTTCATATTTGGACTACCACATACATTGCTAAAACAAATATATTCGTTTGGTTAGCAGCCTATTGCTGCCCTAGCAATATAAATGTGTTTCTAGCAATATTTTTTTGCTGTAATTCACTTATAGTTTACATTTTATAGTAAGGGTAAGTTTATTTTTATTTAGATCTAACATATCTTCTTTACAATAAATGTATTACAAAATTTAACATACATTCATAATAAACAGTAGTATAAATGTGTAAAGCACTAGTATAAAATTTTTAGTATAAATTTGTGTTTACTTTTAGCAACAAATTTCTTTCAGTGCATTCAATCAGGTTTTGGAAAGCATCACAGTACAAATACTGCTTTACTCAAGATCACAAATGATATTGTCAAAGCAATAGATAACTCAGAAGTGACCTTACTAACACTGCTCGATTTTAGTAAGGCTTTTGATGTTATAGATCACAATTTACTGTTGTCCAAGCTAAAATTCTACCAATTTGAAACAGCAGTTATTAAATGGTTTAGTGAATATCTCAACAATCGGAGTCAATTTGTGGAAATTAATGGAAATATTTCTTCCTTGAAAAAAGTGTCCAGGGGTGTTCCTCAGGGAAGCATTCTTGGTCCCCTATTGTTCTGTATTTTTACAGCAGACATGTGCGAAAACAATAAAACATTGTAAAATCCGTTAAACCAACATCCGTAAATACAGCCATTCAATTAATAAATGAGGATCTCCACAGCGTCGAAGAGTGGTCGACAAAAAATGGTCTTCTACTTAATCCAAGTAAAACTGTCAGCATCTGCATAGGTACTAAATCAAATAGAGCAAAAGCTATAACAACTAAAATCTGTGATATTAAAATGTCTAAATCTGTGATACAATTTCAAGACTATGTTAAAAACCTTGGTGTAATAATCGACCGTGATATGAACTTTGAAAAACATGTTAAAAATTTACTTAAAAATGCTTACATAAAATTAAAATCTATTTACAGCTTTAAGTCATTCTTGTGTAGTAATGTAAAGTGAAAACTATGTAATAGCCTCATACTTAGTAATTTTATTTATTGTAGCAGTATTTATTTTTTTCATGCAACAAAAGCAACACAATAATCCATTCAAAAGCTGCAAAATTGTTGTCTTCGTTATACCTATAATATTATATTTAGGGATCCTGTAACTAGTCATGTGATAAACAATTTTTTTGTCAATATGCTGTCTTAGTGTTTGTTATAATTTAAGCTAACCTACCATCATATTTATTGAATTTGTTAGTACGTCGAAATCAGTGTCATAATGTTAATGTGCGTAATAATAGTTTTTTAACAATTCCCAGTCACTAAACTAGCAAATTTGAAAGTAATTTTGAGTATTTGGCTGCAAACATTTTTAATGATTGTATAAACCTGTTTAACGAATGTATTACTCCCTTAGCATTTAAACATAAACTTAGGACTCAATTTTTACTGGAGCAAAGTTTGTTAACATAGCATGTATTGTTATTCTGGTTGGAGTGGTAGAACAGTTTAACTGAACTCTCACTTTTTGTATGTAATGTAATGTTATTTATATACAATAAAGACATTTATTATTATTAATTAAGATTCTTAATTTAAGAATAACATACACAGTACACAACTTGTCTTATTGGTAAATTTTTTCAAAGAATTTGGAGGTTACATTTTATATCAAGTAACCCCCCTCTCCCCCTTATTATTTGGTTGGGCATTGTCACCTCCCCCCCGCTTTTTCGCCCCTAAGTACCTACTATAAACATTTCCTTAAAACAAACGTTTGTCGACACGATCGTGACATATAACTTTTAGAAATCCTACCACGTAGTAAGTATTAGGTGGATATCTTTTTTTTTTAAATTCTCCCTCAACTTTCCTAGAATATAATGTAAAACAACTTCGGGCCAATGTGGATTTCCAAAATCGGTTATATAATGTCAAACAACTTCGGGCCAATGTTGGGTTTCAATATTATACCATGCTAGAAAAAATCTCACGAAAGATATATTGGCCCAATACACAGAAAAAAACGATTACTCAAATCAAGTTAATTTTTATTCTCACTATTTCAAGAATAATTTATCATCAAATAAAAGAAAACCATTCAAATTAAGAAATTACATAAGTTTAAGAATAGTAAATAAAATATTTAAAAAATAGGTTTTATTGTAGAATATATGTTTAATAAAAGACGTTAACAGATTTAAATTAAATCAAAGTATTCTTAAAAAAATATGATACATACTATCAATTTGATTTTATAAAACATAATTTTAATCCAATATATTTTTGTAGCAAGTTTATAATAATATTCTAGGTAAACTTTTAAAATTATTTTGTTTAAATACGTAGGAAGTTCATTTAGAAATTGAAAATTCTTGTTTTAATCGTGAAGTATACTAAACAAATACCTAGTCATAATGGGATCAGAAAGAACTGAAATAATAATCATTTGAAGAAAATGAATACTCAAATGTAATAAAACACCCCTTTTTTTAAATTTCGGTCAAATAAAATATTTTTTAAAATGAGAATACATGTCTCATATTAAAACTATTTCCTCAATTTGAACTTACATATTCTCAAAACAAACCTCTGCATATTTTCATCCCCGCGTGTCGGAATAGATGTTCAGTTATTATTTGGTTTAAACACGCTTCGCGTCGTTGGGTGAAAAGACTAGAAATTTGTAGTTTTTTTATTCTTTTTGTTAAAATGGAAAGTGCATTAAGAGAGTGGGGGCTGTCCGAAGACCTTATAGAGGTATTCAAAGGTAAGTTTGTTTAGTTTTTTCTTTTTTTACTTATTTACCTATACTAGCTAGCATGATAGGTGCATAACGCCAGCTCGTGCTGGCTTAGCCAGCCTGGCTATCGAATGGAGTTATTTAAAAACATACTAAATATATTACATAAATATTCTGTTTTATTACTGCACATTAAAGTATAATTCTATGCATAATATAATATATATTATATCAAAAATAATTGCAATATAAATGTCATACGACCGCCCCTTAAAATTCCTTAAAATGGACTCGCCCATTTATTATCTGCGGCGCAAATTAAAGATTGTCGCGCAGACTGTTGTGATATACATAGGTAGGTAAATGAAATATGTTCTTTAAGTTACACCTTGTATAACTGACGGTGATATTGCAATTTATAATAATATTATTTATCTCCACGCGGTCTATAATTTAAACTTTATTGTTGTCAACATTCGATAAAGAAATACCTTGTTATGGCCTAGGCCGATAAAAATTTTTATGAGGCAAGTAATTAGTTCGATTTTTTCTCGCTAGGGGTATTGTTTTGACAAATTAATCCTTTTCTAAGAAATTAACGTGCTAAACTGGTTTAATTTATTTATAATAAGCACTAATTTGTTTGTTTTACTGTTTAATATTTTTCATTAAATTATTGTAAAATTAAATATGAATACTTAATAAAACAAAAAGTGAGGTTAGGCAACCAAGAAAACGCACGATTCTTTTTCTACGATTTAAATTATCTTTAAGTTTTCAGTGAAATTAAATGTTAAACACAGCTTAAACATTCCAAACTACCTATTTTTTAAATAAAAATCCAAACAAATTGAAAATAGATACCTACCTATTTATTAAACAATTAATTGAATTCAATGTAATAGCAAAAATCCATTTCTACTTTAATCATCAGTAATAGTTTGACAATAGCTAGCAAACTATTACTGCTTCTAAAAGCAATAATAAATATTGTACATTTAATGTAATCTTTAGCTAATAAATAAATGAGATTCTAAAAAAGTGAGGTTAGGTCGCTTTGATGTTGAATTAAATTGACCTATATAAAGTGCTTTAAGATAAAATGTTGTATGCCATTCGGCCAAGAAGTGCCTTTTTGTGCTTCGCTCAATTGTAGGCCTCCGCTACGCGTCGGCCTTCAAACCTTGAGCTTAGCACAAAAAGCCTTACTTCTTAACCTAATGACATAAATAACTATTATTATATAGGGTATTACGTACGTGATCTATTACATGTAAAAGATAAAGATTTAAAATTTTAATACCGTTTAGAAATAGGTAATCTGATTTTTTTTTAATATTTTAATTAAAATTTTAGTTTTGGTTTTACCGAAAGCAACATATTATTTATTATTATTTCTAATGGGACACATTATATTTTTACATTTTTTAATATACAGGCTTGGTATCACTGTTTACTGCTTAGCAACGCGTTTTGGCACTTATTTTTTTTAGCGTTAATTTATAAGTAGGTACCTACTTATCCCACTTATACTTAATGTATATATTTTTATATTATGTATAGTATCGAACTATATGTTAAAAAATCATTTTTTTTTATATCAAAGCTTCTTTTCATGTGTAATGCGGATCTAATAAAGGTAATTTTAAAAGGGGGGATATAATTTTTATAAAGGATCGTAGCTATCTAGATTTAAATTGTCTAAATTTTATGAAACTGTATAAACATAAATGGGTTTTTTTATTTTTTTGTAGCTAACCAAATTGAAAAAGATCAATTAATTGATATGACAAATGATATTTTAAAAGAATTAGTTCCTTCTATGGGTCCAAGATTAAAAATATTGGCCAAGATCAAAGAAATGAAAGAACAGGTATTTTTTATCTTATTTTTTTATGCAAGGATTAATCCACATAAGTATAATATTTTTAAATGTAAAAAATAAAGAATAATCCTATTTTTTGCTATTTATATATACAGCGTTGGCCATAATTTTTGCAACCACTGTAAAAAAATCCAACTCTAAAACGCCTTTATTATTCTTCGAGGGTTTTTCGAGAATATATTTTTAAAGCTTTTTTATTTAATAATGAAAAACGTTCGAAAAATAACTTTTAGGGTATTTTTTTTAAGTAAATAAAAATATGCTGTTAAAGACCGAATTTGTGTTAGTATACCCTGAAAATTTTGTACAAATCAAATGAACAGCAGAAGATACAGCGATTTAAAGTCGTCAAAAATGACCACTTTTCAGCGAAATAATCAAAAAGGGGCCATTATTATTATTATATTATTATTATTATTAATTTGTACAAAATTTTCAGTGTATACTAACAAAAATACGTTCTTTAAATGCATATTTTTTATTTAAAAAATTACCCTAAAAGTTATTTTTCGAACGTTTTTTTCATTGTTTAATAAAAGGGCTTTAAGGATATTTTCTCGAAAAACCCTCGAACACGTAAACTGAGATATAAGTTGAAGTATTTTTTTTCAAAATTTTATAAAGAATAGCAAAGGCGTTTTAGAGTTAGATTTTTTTTACAGTGGTTCCAAAAATTATGGCCAACACTGTAGGTAATTATATTTAGTATACTGTAATGTAATACACAGAAAAAAATTAATACACATAACTTATGAATATGTCATTGTCTTTGCATATTTGATCAAAATAATAATTTTTTAATAAGTAATAATAAAATATTTTTTATGGCAAAATTTAAAATTCTGTATGTTTTGTTTGTTTCTTAATTTCTAGTTATCAGTTGCTAATGCATCTTTGGTTACTTGTGACAATACGGAAAAAGAGTGGATTTCTTCGAATAACTCCGAGCAACTTAGTTTGATATCCGACTCAATTTGCTCTAATAACACCACCACTAGTGGTTCAGCTGAACTAATTTCAATATCTGAGTCGACTCCTATACTTTTTTGTGACAATAATAATATATTAACATATTTGAGGCCGAATCAGTATGAGGATTTTTGTTTAAAAACCTTACTGACAACAACTGCTTTAGGAAAAAGTGTGTTAATGTATTATAATACTTATAAAAAATTAGATAACACACATCGAAATAGATTATGCAGCATAATTGTTAAACATTTATATAATTATATAACAAAAAAGTAAGTCATATCTAGAAAATTATATTTTTTGTAGAATCTTCAAAGTAATTTCTAAATTTTAGTCGATTACGTCAAGAAGAGTATAACTCTTTGGCTGCCAAAATAATAACGCTATTCTCCACTGAACGGATTGGCACATATTATGTCCCACCTATAAAAAAAAACAACAGTCCGTTTGGAAAATCAATGATGGCGAAGGGAAAACTGGTCAATCAAGTAAAAAATACTTTGTTTAGGTCAGGAGATACAAACAAAAGGCATATAGGAAGCGATGAAGACACTTACTTAGAGTCCAAGAAAAAATGTTCAGGTTAGCTTCACCTACTTTATACTGTATATTCAGCGTTTACTTTATATTTGGGGGCGAAATTTTGCATTTATAATATGCAAAAGGGGGTGCGGTATGTGTAAAGAAGTATAGATAATAATATTAATACGAATTATTATTTCTATTTTTTACTTTAAGTTAAACACGAAGACAACATTATTTGGCTTAGCCACAATAAAGGGCCATGGGACACAGTCATTGAAAAATGGAAAAACACATACGAAATCAGATCCGATGAAAATTTTAACCACCTTACTGTCAACCAATATATTGAAAAATGGCCAATTTTAATGGATCTTAGAGCTTCGGTATTAGTAAGTCCATCAACCTTTATTATTTGTTTATTAATTTTATATTTGTACCTTTAATAATAATTAATATTTTCCTCTTTTTTAATATCGTTATGCTGAAGCACCTAGCATTAGTAAAGAACAAGGTAAAAACGCCCATTAGTAGGTCTCAAATAAAATTGCTATTTATTAAACAAAGCTAACAGAAATAATTTAGGTACTGATTACCATCCTCAAATACTCAAAAGTAAAAGAAAGATCCAATTTTGAAATAAGTCGTTCAAATTTTGAAATAGGGTACGGTAGGTCTCACATCAATTTAAATTTCATATTTTGGATAAAATTTACACCCAGCGTAATATTTCTAAACTCGACCCTGTGTACAAGAATTGGACATGCTCGTGCATCAAGATTTGCCTTTAAACTTAGTGTGGGGTTAGATACTTATTTTCTAAGCGGTCGTAGAAAAGTTGTGCTATTAATTTTAATATTCCCTTTTATTGTAGATTAACCTTGATTTCGAAAACAAATATCCTAGCAGCAATATTGCTTTTTGGAGCAACTGGTCAATATTTTTTGAAAAAGTGTTTGCGCACAAAAAAGATGAAATAAAGGACGTTGTGGCATTAGGCTTAATTGGCGAATTGCAAGAATTAAATGAAGAAGGTATATAAGTTTATATTAGGACCTAATAATTGGGTATCCTATTGTAGATTTCAGAACTTTTTAAAATAAAATAATTATTCTACCCAAACCTCATAAAAAATACATACACTTTTTTAGTTGACAAATTTCCGCTGCAGCTTAGCCTATTAAATTACATGTTTCCTCCTAAAGGAAGAATTAGGACGAAGACAAAAAACCACTGGAAGTTTTCAACAATAGAATGCCTTGAAGGAATTATAAAGCACGTTAAGGTAAGAGTCTAGTTGCCAATATAAAACCAAATAATCTGTAAAAGTCGCAGATATAAAAAAATCATTTTCAGAACACTGGGGACATACGAGACGAAATCGAAAAAACCATAAACAAGGCATTTTCAAGGAAGGAATGTGTCCAGCCGTTTCTTCTGGTAAATGGTACATATCTACATACACCAAATGCCTGCTACGTTGTTCTTAATCATGAACTAAGGTATCAATTCAAAACAGTATCGGAAGCATTTGACATTTTATTTAAGATATTTCATACAATGAACATTAAATACCCTAGTGAGAGCCAACATATATATCAGTTAATTCAAACATGCGTCTATAAAATTAAAACTATATTTGATACTGTATATCCAGATCTTGTTGATGTTCAACACATGTTTGAATGTAATAATATTTAATAATATTAAGTATTATAAAATAGTATCTGTTGTTGGGAATTTTATATATATATTCTTTTAAATTTTTGTTTACTTTTCTTTACAATGGATTGCGATAAATGTGACAAAGATTTTTCTGATATTCAAAAATATATTTTTCATTTAGAATACGTTCATAAAGTTACAAATTATTTTAAATGTACAGTTCAGGACTGTGGCAGATTATTTCATAGAAAAGATAGGTTTAAAAGTCATGTAAAATCTAAGCATTCAAATGAAATGTTCATTAATGTTCGTCAATGTACTAATTTACAAGAAAACGGTACCCTACAAGAGAATTCAAATACATCAACTCATGATACAAATATTTTAAACACAAGCAAAATTTCTGCACCTAAAAACGATAATAATTTTAATATAAAACTACATTTGGAAAACTTTAAAACTATTTTATGCACCTCGGTAGAGACATTTGTCAGCAAATTCTATGACTGCCCCGAGATTTCTAGAACAGTGGTACAATTAATAATTGATACAATTTCAAGTTATTTGTCTTCAGGTCTTATAGATATTATTAAAGAAACTATACAAGGTGTATTTAATACAGACAAAAATCATATAAAAAATGAATTAAAAAGTATTTTTCAAATGCTTGATATGCTAGCATCGCCATTTCTGAATTTAAATACCGAATATAAACGCTTCAAATATTTTGAAAATAAAGAAACTTTGCTTAAGCCCACACCTCATAATTTAGGTGTAACACAAGATCAGAAACATAAAAACGGGCAGGTTATTCTGGAATTAAAAAATGCATTTGCTTATACTGTTTCTATGCGAAAAACATTAAAACTTTTTTTTGAATTGCCAGGAGTATTTGATACCATTAGTAATTATCAAAAAAAATTGGAAGAACTTGCAGAACACACTGAAAGAAATTTATGTTTCATATATGGACTACCACATACATTGCTAAAACAAACATATAATATATTTACCTTAACCATTTTTATATTTAGTTTTAACATATTATGTTAAAACTAAATATAATATATGTTTGTTTTAGCAATGTATGTGGTAGTCCATATATGAACCACAAACATTGCTAAAACAAACATATATTTCTTTCAGTGCATAATGGGAATATGTATAGTATCATTCATGGTGAAGTATGGCAGAATATAAAAAGTAAATGTTTTCCCGACGAAATCATATTTCCGTTAATAATGTACTTTGATGATTTCGAAACACTTAATCCACTAGGCTCACATGCTGGGTGTTATAAAATCGGTAATTTGTACTATACAGTAGCTACTATACCACCGGTTTATGCAAGTCGACTTGAAAATATCTTTTTATCAGAAATTTTTTACACTAACGATAGAACCAAATTTAGTAACCGAAAAACATTTGAACCTGTAATAAATGAACTTAAATTTCTTGAAAGTGAAGGAATACATATACAAGTAGCAGGTAAAAATTATAATATAAAATTTTCTTTAGTACTCTCTTAAAATGAATTAGTCAAAAATAACTAATTATAAGTCATATTTGACTAATTGTCATAGTGAAAAAGCAGTCACTAATAATTAGTCAAATTCCACTGAATGAAATAGTCAAATTAGTAAATTTAAAAAAAGTTTTGACCCAGCCTGGGATTGAACTCAGGTCTGTCACTTGACAAGTTTGTCAAGCTAACGTCTTAACGCATTCGGCTGTCAGCCGCTCTTATAAAAATTAATTTTATTTGTCAATAAATATGGTTTATAATATTTTAAAGTTTAATATATTATTTGTCTTGCTATTTTGAGCTAAACTTTTTGCATCTTTATTTGTTTTATGGGTCATTTAACCATGGAGAGGTATATGCATTTAATTCAAATAATACTTTGTTGTTGGCCGTAAACGACTAAAGAAATTAGTTACTTTTAACTGTCAGAAATAGTCAAATATGGTGACTAATCTTAAATTAGTCAAACTTTAACTATTTACATAGTAAAAAATAACTATTTAAAAGTGAAAACGACTATTTTATTAGTAAAAAATGCTTTTACTAATTCAAATAGTAGAATTTTGACTATTTCATTTTTAGAGAGTAGTGTTATGTGGAGACAACTTAGGCCTACATTACATCCTAGGTCTAAATGAGTCATTTTCCTCAACTTATTACTGTCGATTTTGTACCGAAAGTAAAGGATTTATGAAAAGTCAGACTTGTGAAATTGAAAACAGCATAAGAAATAAAAATGATTATGAAAATCATGTTTTAAATAATATCGGCATTAAAGAGATATGTATCTGGAACGATTTACCAAATTTTCATATTTATGAAAACTTAACATGTGATATAATGCATGACATTTATGAAGGGGTTTTACGATACGATATGGCTCTCATAATAAAAGAGCTACTTAATAAGAATTATTTTACTTTGGCTAGCCTTAACTCGCGAATTAAATACTTTAGTTATGAGCATAATGAAAAAAATATTCCCCCAGCTATTAACAAAGACCACTTAACAAGTGGTTATATTATTATGTCATCTTCAGAAATGATTTGTCTTGTCAGAAATTTTAGATTTATTATTGGAGATAGTATTCCTTATCATAATGAGGTGTGGTCTTTTTATTTGCTTGTCCTCGAAATTGTTAATACTCTTAGCACACAAGTAATGGCACGGAAATCGTTGGATTTATTAACAAATCTTATACAAGAACACAATAAATTGTACCTTAAATTTAGCAAGGGGTCATTAAAACCTAAGTTTCATTGGTTATTACATTACCCCAGGATAATTAAAAAAAGTGGTCCTCCAAAATTAATATCTTGCATGAGATTCGAAGCTAAGCACAAGGAGTATAAAAGCGTTGCACAAAGTATCCGTTGTAGAAAAAACTTACCATTTTCTCTAGCCATGAAAATACAATTAAAATCATGTCATCGTTTAAATAGTCTTAGGGGATTTTATGATAATATTTTTATGGGAATCATAAGTGATGTTGATTTAAAATATTCTACGATATTTGAGGAAATCAATATTAATATTAAGGATTTTTTTAAATCAAATTGGACACTGTCAGTGTCATGTATAGCAGATATTGAGACCATAACAAGCAATTAGGTGAGTAGGCATTTTTGTCAATCATCTTATTAAGACCATAAGCAAGTCAAGCATTTTTGGAAAAATAAGGCGGACTGGGAACTGCGATTATTTGTCGTGTACTGATTCTTATTCTTCTGTGTCGGTATACCCTTCTGCTTCGGATATTTCGGTATTTGGTAGTACTGACTTCAAAGAAGATTTAGCCGTATTCATCCAGTCGTTGTTTACTTAGGTAAAAAGTTAGGAAGCAGGAAGAGAGATTGTTATTGATATTGGTATGAA